TGGAGGGAGCTTTGGAATTTGCGGTGCTATTGTACGCCCGAACTGACTTAGCTGTAGACTGAGGGTGCCGTATCCTAGAGACCAGCTAAAATTTGTTTGCACGAGGAGATTTCCCATCATCGTCACTATGCCACCTCCCTTTACCTTTGTCTCTTTTTAGCGTCCCATTTTCTAGACTGTCATCATCGTGAATGATAACCGTTAGTTTTACTAAGTCAAACAAAAAAGCCAATTTTAGGGACGAGAATTCCTTGTGAACACCTAATTCAGCTATCTACCCATTTCCATGGAATGCGAATTATGTGTAGTGGCTTCCGCCATTTCCCTCAATTCGATCTCCGTGCCCCATTGTTTCGTCCGTGAAACTGCCACGTGACGCTATGCAATGTGGCGTTTTCTGATTGGTCCAGTTCTTTTGTCACGTATCCACCCGCGACATACTGCCAGAGTCGTGCACACCCTGAAGGCTACCACTGTGACTACCCGATTGGCTGGTCACGGTTTTCGGCATGAAAGCCTCTATTCAGAACTTGTTTCCTCCTAGGGCAGACTGGAAAAGTGCATCGTTCCGTCTGAATTATGATATAACAAACTAGCATCACATTAAATAATTATCCTATAGGTAACTTATCTGGACATCAGCTGAAATGAGCGATGTTCGTCTGAGTCTCCCAGCAACACCAACTTAATTTGCAAATGAATGTACTTCATCAAATCAATTGTTTTCACAGTCACTAGACAATTATGTGAGCTGAGCAAGGCTAGTGCGCAGAATGAGATAGTACTTTGGTGACAACAATATTTACACAAGCAATAGGAGGTGTTTGCTTTCAGCACACATGAACTCTAAAGAAAACAAGCTATTGAATTTTTGAACTAAGGTTTTTGCGTGCACGATAAATTCATTCTATAATCTTTTTTGAGGACCCAACGCCAGATGGGGATGAACAAACTGGATTATCCAGAGATGGTCAAATGTTAATAATGAATTCGGGGAGCAGAAGAGTGTTAGCCTGATGGAAGACCATACACGGGATTGATATCAGGTCGAAAGCAATGATGTCTGAACAACGACTCTCTGAGCCTGCTATGATCGATCCATCCGAGTAGCGACCGGACGTGAGATTCGAGATCCTTTTGCATGTAGCCAACATCCGACTGTTTCTTCCATGATATGACCTGTAACAGGATGGGTTCTGGCCACTGCATGACCAGTTTGCGGTAATTACTGATGGATGCTGCCTGCGCAGAGCACAACAAGAGATGGAAATAAAAAACGGTGGATTCATTGGTCATGCGGCTGTCCCAAAATTAGCGGCTGCGCTTCATATTGTACTGCCATCTGCAGCTGATTATGGTTACTTTAGGCACGCTAGTTTGCAGGATCTCTTTGTTGAAAGCCGCATTTTATTTGAAAAGCACATAGATGGAGCAGTTCGTCAGCATTTTCGGTACTTCGTGCATAAATGTTCGGTGTACCACTCAGTCACTTGTCCCCCTCGAGCGGTCAATAAAAATGAGATTTTGGTGATATCGCTGAAAGCAGAATTGCAGATTTTATACAGCTATTTTGTGAAGTATTTTTGTCGGATTCTGAAACGATTTATATGGAGGCTTGCTCTGTTAAAATGATAAGTGTCTCTTTGAACCTTTCTCGGATCTTTGGGTACACTAAGTGAGCCCAGGGTGCAACAGTGTGAAGAATTTTTACTAGAGCCACTCAGATTTATTGACGCTAAATTCTGACCATTTGAACATTGAAATACTTGCCTACACAATAGAAGTGTAAAATTCTGAAAGCTAACAGTGCTGTTTAGAGTCATTTACCTTAGGACCTCGCCAAGGCTGGTATTTGTGGGCCCAGGTTGCAAACTGGTTACCCCAGCTGTTGGGAAATATCCAAATATTCAGATACAAATTATTGTGATCTTTCCAGAACAATCAAATGACTTTCATTCTTCAGAATGTTTAAGCACGTTCAGTAGCTAGTCTTGGTGAAACATTTGTACCTGGTATATATGAACTTCTCTTGAAGCGCTTTCTGGAAACTTGGCTAACACGGTCAGACTTCTTGTCAAACTTTTTGGTTCGTAATGCCACTGTCGAAGGCGTAATCACTTATACGAACGGCGAGAGCAGATATCAGACTCCGATACCTAGCGAGCCGTCCTATGGCGTCCAAGAACAGTCCGAAAACATGCTGGCTTCAAATCACCCACAGATTCTGTTCGAGGTGTATGAATTGCATCAAGAAACGTCAACCTTACTGATGGACGGGCAGATGCACTAATTCCTGGTTCCTATTACAAATGAAAAACGGACAGATATGGGCTCATCCGTCCGAAGTTGAAGTCTACGCGCTTCCACTCACCCCTTGTGGGTCAGAATTTCCAACAAACTACCAGGAGCTACATTCTGTAAAAACCGAGTGATTCTTGAAGCTTTAGTTAGAGCGAGGCATCACTGAATGATCCTACCGTGTCCTACTAAACTATCTGGTATGATCGGCTCCTGAAAATCCGAACGGCACTCCATCATCAACCACAAAGTTAACGGGGACATCCAAACCGTCACATCAAGGCAGATTCTATGGATTGGCAAAATTAAAGTAACATTATATCGAGTGAAGTATTACAAACGACTGTGATACCTGTTAAGCTTTTTAGTTTTCTGGGGACAAAATATTTGGTGATCAGGCACTGTGACCGTTAAGAACTAAGGCTATTCTTCCATTTGTGAAGGACGAATACCGCCTGGGACGAATACCTCTTCTGGTGGTTAATTACATTGCGGGATTTCTCAACAACTTGTAGTTGGCTAGGCATGCTAACTTATTCCATTGATACCTTACCGCTGCAGTCCCGGTGGGCATTTTATGATTTGTAGGTATTCCCGTCCGCACATTATCAGAACGTTCAAATTCCGATCAAGCCACGGTAATCTGATTCTTCAACTGTTTTTGTCCACCAACCGACAACGTACACGAAGGTTAGTCGTCGAGACAGCAACCACTGAAGCGATGGTTTGCTACCCAGTATGTACCGTTGAAATGGAGATCAAATATCATTTGCCTCCCCCATCTGGCATTATTAGGGGCTTCGAACATCATTTTAAGTTTATCCACTTTAAAACACGTGCGAACTTAGTTACCTACAACTTCACCATATCCTACTTGTACTTTGTTAAAACGTACTCGATGGTATTACAATAGAGATGGCTTGCTACACTTCCCGGGTAAAGACTAAATCACTGAAGAGTTATGCAACCAAAAGCAGCACAGAAATCGGTCCATTCCGTTTACAGCATCACACAACGTGATAAGCGCAACTGACAAAGACAAAGCTATATTTCATTCACGACAAAACACTTGTGGGACTATGTCACGTGCCTTAACAAGCCTTGCACACGTGCTTCCAAGCTTGAAACGATAGGCGCCATTCGAAGTGATCGATTTTCATGCTTGGGTTGTGCCACGTCAAGTTCACAGACCAGCTGACGCGGTGCACCGGAGGATATCACGAGACATACGATTTACACTCAGCGGACAAAGCATGAATAGTTTTGTTTGTCTGTTTCAAGCCAAAAGATGAAAACAGAAGACTTAACAAAGGATCGTNATGGTTACTTTAGGCACGCTAGTTTGCAGGATCTCTTTGCTGAAAGCCGCATTTTATTTGAAAAGCACATAGATGGAGCAGTTCGTCAGCATTTTCGGTACTTCGTGCATAAATGTTCGGTGTACCACTCAGTCACTTGTCCCCCTCGAGCGGTCAATAAAAATGAGATTTTGGTGATATCGCTGAAAGCAGAATTGCAGATTTTATACAGCTATTTTGTGAAGTATTTTTGTCGGATTCTGAAACGATTTATATGGAGGCTTGCTCTGTTAAAATGATAAGTGTCTCTTTGAACCTTTCTCGGATCTTTGGGTAAACTAATGGAGCCCAGGGTGCAACAGTGTGAAGAATTTTTACTAGAGCCACTCAGATTTATTGACACTAAGTTCTGACCCTTTGAAAATTGAAATACTTGCCTACCCAACAAAAGTGTAAAATTCTGAAAGCTAACGGTGCTATTTAGAGTCAATTACCTTAGGACCTCGCCAAGCCATGGTTGCTGGTATTTGTGGGCCCAGGTTGCAAACTGGTTACCCCAGCTGTTGGGAAATATCCAAATATTCAGATACAAATTATTGTGATCTTTCCAGAACAATCAAATGACTTTCATTCTTCAGGCTAAATTCTGACCATTTGAACATTGAAATACTTGCCTACACAATAGAAGTGTAAAATTCTGAAAGCTAACAGTGCTGTTTAGAGTCATTTACCTTAGGACCTCGCCAAGCCATGGTTGCTGGTATTTGTAGGCCCAGTTTGCAAACTGGTTACCCCAGCTCTTGGGAAATATCCAAATATTCAGACACAAATTATTGTGATCTTTCATTCTTCAGAATGTTTAAGCACGTTCAGTAGCTATTCTTGGTGAAACATTTTACCTGGTATATATGAACTTCTCTTGAAGCGCTTTCTGGAAACTTGGCTAACACGGTCAGACTTCTTGTCAAACTTTTTGGTTCGTAATGCCACTGTCGAAGGCGTAATCACTTATACGAACGGCGAGATCAGATATCAGACTCCGATACCTAGCGAGGCGTCCTATGGCGTCCAAGAACAGTCCGAAAACATGCTGGCTTCAAATCACCCACAGATTCTGTTCGAGGTGTATGAATTGCATCAAGAAACGTCAACCTTACTGATGGACGGGCAGATGCACTGGCTCCTGTTACAAATGGAAAATGAGAAGATATGGGCTCGTCCTTCGGAAGTTGGAGTTTACACGTTTCCACTTACCTCTTGTGGGTCATTATTTCCAAAAAACTACCAGGAGCTACCTTCTGTAAAGACCAAGTGATTCTTGAAGGTTTAGTTAGAGTGAGGTTTAGCAAGGCATCACTGAATGATCCTACCGTGTCCTGCTAAACTGTCTGGTATGATCGGCTCCTAAAAGCGTTCAGCTGTAGCACCCTTCCGGTGCCTAGCTGCCATGCCACCCGGAGGAAGCACGAGGGCTGGGATACTGCCAGGTTGCCCAAGCCTAGACAGGGGAAGTCGAGTGGCGGAGGTCGGATTCGAACCGCGGACCTTCAGGTTAGTAATCCGCGCTCTAACCACTTCGGCCAAGCATCACTCGAGAGCTTCATTACAAAACTCTCGTTTATGTTGGTGTATACGACTGCGTGGGCACGCTCTGCTTCAGGAACCCACCGAGCGGCGCAAGCCACTCAGTTCCTCGTTTATAAAACGTCTTTCTAGATCAGAAATAGCTAATCGTTCAGCTCTAGCAACCTCTCGTTGTCTGTCTGCCATTCCACTCGAAGCAAGTATGAGGGCTAATATACTGCCAGGTTTCCCAGGCCTAGACAGAAGCAGCCGAGATTCTGGAGTTGGGCTCGAACCTTACATACTTCAGTTGGGAAGTTTGCGCGTTAACCACTGAACTATCTTGAGCTCCGTGAACAGTATCGGGTTGAGTTGCAAGAGTATGGCTGCTACAACGGGAGAGAACACCCGGCACAGGCCGTCAGCACTC